TTCCAGCGTCAGAGCTCTTCTTGTCTTAGCTGCTTGACAGTCAAAGTTCCGTTTTGTAGCCATTTTAGCAATGCAACGTTCTTGCTGCGTCTGAAACTAACAATAACAAATACTTCCTGGACTACTGCGCATGTGTAAACCAGTGTGGTGGTTGCTGTTGCCGTTTCCGAACGAAGCAGTAGAGGTCGCTGTTGGATTACACTTCGTTGTAGTGAATCTCGTCGCGAGGCAAGAACAGAGAAAAAGATTTCGTATAACGCAACAGGGTTTTTTTTTCGTTCTATGGGGGGCAGGAAAGTGGGAATGGTGTTAATGCATGAAGATTTTTTTCACACTAGGGGGTATTTTCGCCCATGTAGGTTTCGTTGTAGAGGAGTTTCACTGTAGTGGCATTAGACCTGCGGACAGTGGGTACATCTTGCAAGAGGATTCCCCATTGACTCTGGTCTGTCTGGATACTCTGGGGTGTCATGGGCGTGTCGACCTGATCAAGTGATGACTGAGCGACAATGTGCTTTGATGCTGTCTCTGACTCAGGTAGGCACCCCTGAATTGGCATTCGATGTAGATGTTCGGTTAATGCTGGTGATCTGACGCTAAGAACACATCAGGAACAGGAAGACTCAGGAGGCAGGCATGGTTGTCTTTCTTGCAAGAGAGAGTGCGCTTAAACATGTCTCGGTTCACAATCTCGGAGCAGCTCTCAAGCTGGCTCTGCCATGTAAACCGTTACAGGTTCCGGGGCAACTCTGAAGAGACATTTATTGGAAGGATGTCACTGATACTCGATCTTCTAATGGATGTGGGGACTATTTGCACATTCCACAACAGTTTCAGTACAGGAGACTTTCAAAGAGAACACACAGTTAATTCCTGAGGTGAACAGACGGCTTCTGCTGGAGGTCGGTGGTCCGCGAACGCAACTTGGGATGTCCCTCACATGGTGTCCTGGGGTTGATGTTATCTTCTCACAAGCAACGGTTAATTTGATCAGAAGCCGTTAACAAAAGGATACTATCTTAAAAGCTAGAACAGGAGCAGCCTAAGCTCTCCCGGTCCGACAAGTCTCCCATGATCAACCCACCCCATTGTGTATGAGGTATTTGCGAGGTATCACTCTGAAACAGGTTTTAAAGTTACACAGAGAGTAAATATGGGATAACAGAATTACATTTATTCCAATAGTAGATCTAGGTATACCTTGGTAGAACAGTTTCCTGGTCGACTCCGGTCTGTTCGGTCTCTCTGGAGTGTCTACCTGGTCAGTTGCTGAAGACTGCATTGGGGGCCTGATCATTTCAGGTACATGTGGACCTCCGCTGATGAGTCGTCTTCTGTTTTGATGGCTGGGTTTTATTCTTGGGTTGTCTCACTGGCACTGTCGGTGGTCCAGTTTTGAACTGCAGATGAGGGGCTAGTTCTATTTCGCTCTAAGCGTGACCCGCCACTTCCTTCACGCAATCCAAACAAACTGCAATCACTCCACTTCCTGTCACGGCCCATCTTCCATTCCAGCCACTTCCTGTCTAATGACAGACTGCCATCAACAAATGACACCAGCGTGTGTGTGTGTGTGTGTGTGTGTGTGTGTGTGTGTGTGTGTGTGTGTGTGTGTGTGTGTGTGCGTTTCAGTACACAATTGTCACCATGTCACAGCTGCCCGCCTCAATGCCATCAGGGACTGTTAGCTTTTAAGGTTATAATGACCTCTGCATGACCCAACCAAAGACCCCGCCCCTTTTTTCTAATCAGCAAAGCTAATTCATCTAAGGAAAGGATTGAGGACAGAAAGTTGGAAGGAAGGAAAATGGAAGAATGGATGAACGGATGAAAGGAACCCAAAAAAGGATGTTATGAAAGAAAATAAGGATGGAATTATGAAAGGTCGTAAGGTCAAAAGAGGATGTAAGTTAAGGAGGAAGGACAGAAGGAAGAGTGGATGGAAGGATTAACAAAGGAAACCAGCATGCATGAAAGGAAAGCAGGAAGGAAAGAAAAGAGAAAGACTGGGTGATGCAACAAAAGATTAATGGGAGGAAGGAAACTAGGATGTATGGAAGGAAGGAAGCAAGGAAGGGAGGAACGAAGGAAGCAAGGAAACGAGGATTTGTTGCAATGAGGAAGGAGGCCATTTAGAGCAGTTGCCAGGTGCGAGTGCTTTTTAAAAATGTAATTTGTCAGAAGTGTAAAAATGGTCAAAGGAAAAATGTGGAAATGTTGACTCCTATTTCCACATGGAAACGTTACATTTTTAACGTAGTACAATCGTGTCCCGTTGATGTCAAAAGTAATCTCGTTGGCCGCTGTGCTGACCAAATAATGTGCGCGTGGGTGTGTCTTTCAGTCACAATTTGATCTTGATGATGATGAAGATAAGAAAGGAGTGAAAAGGAAGTCCGAATCACAAAGACGGGAAACGAGAACGGCCCAGCTTCTGCGTGCGCGCGTGGGCACGTACACGCACACGCCTCATAAAACACAACAATGAAGGTGCCCTCGCGCAAATCCATTTGTGACCACCGGCTGTGTGCGTGCGTGCGCGCCGCGTGTGGGCGGGCGTGCAGACGTGATTTCATTTGCGAGCGTCTCGGCTGGAGAATGAGAATGAGGAGGCCGACGAGAAGGAGGAGGAGGAGGAGAGAAGGAGGACGAAGAGGACAGAGGTTGGCGAGCGCTCCGAAGAAGGTGATTGTGCCGCGTCTTCATCTCAACAGGTTGTTGCTTTCTTTTCGTTTTGAAAACCTATTTCGACCTTTTAGGAGTGAAACGTTCATGTTACATTTGATGACGTCCGAGTTCTTCCTCGGGTCAAGTTGAGTTTACGCGAATTGCCGTTTTACAACTTGCCATTCATTTCATTTGGTCTATGTGACATGTTGATGTTTACGTGCGTGTTCAAGTTGTTTTACAATATTACGTATTCAAGGTTTTATCACGTTCATGCGCATTTTAACTCTTCAGGCGCTAGAGGTTTTTTTTCCAGTAAAATATTCCGTTTTGATTTCAAAACGTTGCTGCTTGAAAATAGTTCGAGATATCCGATTGTAAATGGTGCTTGGTGCAGTGTTGCTACTTTGGTTTAGTTTTATTGTATTAACAATTACATGATACAAATCACATGTTTAGGGCATTAGTTGTTCGTATTACACGTTTCATTACATATTAATCACGTTCACGTTACATGTGCCATTCATGAGCTGTAAACGTGAACACGTCACATTTTAGCACATTCGTGATTCTGTGACGTTTTATTGTGTTTGTTATTTTTTTTCACGTTTGCATTGTTTTTGTGCGTTGTGTTATCACGCTCCAATTGCACGTTTTATTCCGTTTTTGACGTTCCATCACATTCACATTGCGTTGTTTCACGTAAACTTTACGTTTAACACGTTCACGTTGATTTTACGGCTTTCACGTGACACGTTTCATGACATTTATGCGACGCATATATTTTTTGAGTTCACATTGATTTTACGGCTTTCACGTGACGTTTCATGACATTTATGCGACGCATATATTTTTTTAATCACATCCATGTTACATGCCATTTTATCACGTCTACGTTACGTTTTTTTGTCACGTTTTAGTGACGGTACGTATTATTACTTAAGTTTAAGAGAGATTTTATCATTTTCATTCCATTTTTACACATTCACGTTACACATTTCGTCTCATACAAGTTATGTTTGAGCACTTTCACATTACATCGCATAGATTATTATACTTACATTACATTGCATGTTATTTCTGTTCACGTTACGTTTATGCTAAATGGTAAAGCATTGAATTCTGTTCACATTCTTATGACATTTTATCACATTCTTATGACATTGTTTTAGCACTTCCATGTGTTGCTGACATGCTTAGATGGCGTGTTTGATCATTTTCACGTTACATTTGATCACATTCAAGTTGCGTTTTACTGCTTACCCTTCACATTTTTTGTTTTATTGACGTGATGCATGCATGTATGTGTGGCCTTTCAAGGTGTGTACATGCAAAGGTGTCCATGGCGACTTGCGTGTTCGCGTTGGTGAGTGTGTATGTGTTAGCATGTGCAGCATCCAACATAGACACGCGCTTCCCGCTGCTGAAGACGGGAGCAGACGGAACTTTGTTTGGACTTTCCGTCGCTCTGCATCTCGACCTCAAGTCACGCACACACCTGTGAGTAACCTCTGACCTTGCCTTTGTAGAGCTGTATACACACGCACACACGCACACACACACACACACACACACACACACACACACACACAAGATACACAAGAAAAGCACTTACTTGTGTGTCTTCGTCATCTTGGGTGGTCAAAGTTTATTGGTCGGCGCACCGAGGGAGAGGGCGGAGCCTGGTGTGCCGGCCAATCGAACCGGGGGCGTGTACATCTGCCCGATCACTAGCGACCAATCGGATTGCAGGAGGCTGCCGCTCATCAAGCCAGGTGAGGCTGCCCTACTCTCTCTTGCTACTACTTTCTGTTTGGCGAGGACCATTGCGATAGCAGGAGAAGCTATGCCAACCAGTTGACACAGGCCCCTCCTACTCATCCTTCTCCGACTTGTCCTTGCTGCGTTTCAGACCTGGAGCCATCCGAGGACTTGGTGGAGGACATGTGGCTGGGCGTGACGCTGGCCAGTGAGGGGCCACCTGGGGGGCGGGTTCTGGTGAGTCCAAGCCTGACTGATTTGGGGTTAAATTCGACACAATTACTGTGTTAATAAAGGACCAACCCACACTTGGGTCAATTTGAGCCAAAAACTTGAGCCAGAAAATTGAGTTATTCAGTTTTGACCCAACTTGTAGCGTTAAATGAATATAACAAATTGGGTCAAATTAATCTGGGTTATTCCAGTTCGACCCAAATTTTAGGGTTAAATGAACACATTAAATTGGGTCAAAACAATGCATTTTTTATACCCAACTGTGATTTAAAAGAATAAACTGAATAGGTCAAATAGAGACAAGTGGCAGTCAATCCTAGTAATTATATAATATACTAACGTGCTTTTGATGGCCCCCGCAGGTGTGCGGCCATCGCTTTGTGAAGATTTACGGTGCGTTCAAACTGAGACACATGATCGGCCGCTGTTATCTCCGCGGTAACGATCTGCGCCACACTGAGGCCGACGAACAGGTCTGCAGGTATGGCAGGATGTGGGAAGTCAGGTGGCGAGTGGGTGGGTCACAGCGGCATCAGGTCAGCAGGCCTTGCCCACTCACCATGGTGCACGTGTGTGTGTGTGTGTGTGTGTGTGTGTGTGTGTGTGTGTGTGTGTGTGTGTGTGCACAGTCACCTGGGCGACATGCGCGGAGAGGTCATGTGTAACTCGGGAATGTCTGCCGCCATCTTTCGTCATGACATCATCATCGGATCGCCGGGAAGTTACCAATGGCAAGGTCAGACTCCTTGTTCATCTTCTCCGTCTCGTGATTTTTAGTTTTCTTTGACTTGTCCTCCACCTCCTCCTTGTTTGCCGTTTCTTTGAATGAAGGAAACATCCATGTAAGATGGAACAATCCTGATGATGTCTTTGACACCAGGAGTAGCTCCTTCCCAAATCTGCAACGCAGGAACATCTACTTAGGTCAGTTGCCCTCACAACACTTTTATCTTCACATCTGCTAACAGCTAAGCTATGTGCTAACAATCAAGCTAAATGCTAACAGCAAAGAAGCGTGCAAACAGCTCAGCCACTTGATTAACAGCTAGGATATATGCTAACAGTGATGCTACATCCTGACAGGAAGGCTGCATGCTAACGTCTATGTGCTATCAGCAAAGCTGAACAGTTACAACTTATGGGCTGCGTATGAAGAGGAAGAAGGCTGTGTGCTAACAGAAAGGTGTTTTGCTACAGCAAGACATTGTATTAACAGCAAGGCTACATGCTAACAGCTATGTCCTAACAGCGAGGGTACACACTCACAAGGCTCAATTTTAAACTCAAGGCCACACCAACAGCAAGGTCAAGGTTGTGCGCTAATGGCTAGGCTTTTTGCTACCGGCAAGCTAACACGTGTTTACATAAGATTATTTACATGCTACATGCTATGCTAACAGCTGGGCTATATTATATAATTAACGTGTGTGTTTGTGTAGGTTATTCAGTCATGTGCGCTAATGGCTAGGATTTTTGCTACCAGCAGGCTAACATGTGTTTACATAAGATTATTTACACGCTACATGCTAACAGCTGGGCTATATTATGTAATTAACGTGTGTGTTTGTGTAGGTTATTCAGTCACTCAGGCAGCAGGTCTTCTCTCACAGGATGACATCACGATAGTAACAGGTGATGAGTTCTTTTGTGTCTGTCCAATCAGCTGACGGCTGAAATTATATATTGATTGATGTTTGCATTGAGGAGCATCTATGGAAGCTCCTTCTTCCATTTCCTTCTTATCAACTTTGGGTCCATGTACTACGTATGTCCGTGTAAATCGCGAGTCATCCAGGTGATGGTCAGCCACACGTCGTTTGACTCCTTCTTCCATTTCCTTCATATCAGCTTTGGGTCCATGTACTACGTATGTCCGTCTTAAACTGAGTCATCCAGGTGATGGTCAGCCACACGTCGTTTGTTTGACGTTTCACTATCCATCCAAAGGCCTTTTTCATTTTAAAATGTTTCCTGTGGAGCTTTTCGATTTATGCCTCTGTTAATGTGTGTCTGGGGAGTATCAGCAATAGTCGTCGGTGTTGCCCACCAATCTGTCGTTCACTCATCATGTGGCAAAGCAGCTCGCGTTGTGGGCATTCTGTACGATGTCGTAGGCAGACAACAGGTGATGCCCCAAACCTTCTCCTGTTTCCAGGCAGGCTTTCTACTTTGACATCAGTGGATTCTTTTCAGCAATCAAGGTTGTTTGACCTTGGTGCCAGGCTTTGGATAATGTCACCCATTGTTTTGGAATGAATGACATATACGTAGATGATATTGGAAGTAGTTTCACCCCACGTTTCTTCAGCTCTACTCAGTCATATTTGAAGAGGTGCAGAGATTCCCAGAACATTCAAAATTTGTCACTGGGTGAGAAGCACACATTTTTTTTTCAGCCGTTTAGTCACCGCCATTAATCGGCTGAAGTGCTCATCTCGTCATGCCACTGGCAGCGGTGCACTCAAAGGCACCTGATAACTGAGGGATTGCACTTTGCCAAGGAGAACAACAAAACCCTTTAGCGAGCTTTTCAAATCAAGAGATTTCGTGACACCATGTCATTGCTAAAACACAGAACTTTGGAGTTCTTTCTCCGACAAAAATGTTTCACAGCCGAAATAACCTTGGCGCCAATTATCAGTATTTGGGACCCAGAAGCTGACCCTTTTTAATGGGCCCATTTTGCTGCAAAGGTTTACTTGCATACCTTTCACAGGTCCTGAAATCTACCAAAGTTTGCTGGCCAGGTGACACAAAAGCAACCCTGTTTTTTTTTTCAGTTCCATGTCCGTGTTTTGTCTTTGCTGTCCGAATGTTGATTTCCTGCTCTTTGACGGAACCAAAGTCCTGGGTTGTTACCTCAGTGCCTTTGCTCCCAGCAAATTTCAGCTGCAGGAAGATTTAACTCGAGAGGTCAAAGTGTGTACTAGTACATAGACCTAAAGCTGATGTGAAGGTCATTTCATAAAAGTTGAAAGGTGTTCCCCTAAGCAGGCGCTCCAAAAGACACCAAAGAGGACGCTCGTGGATCAGTGCTGCTGGCGGTCAAAGCCGGCGGCAGTGGTTTGCTGGCCATCCGGCAGACGCTGCGAGGAGAGCAGACAGGCTCGTACTTCGGGAACGCCGTGGCCGCCGCAGACCTGGACAACGACGGGTAAGCGAGGCTGAGCCCCCACTGGTTGCGATGTCTTACGGACTGTGACCCTTAGGTGGTGCGACCTGCTGGTGGGCGCGCCTTTCTACTTCCGGCGGCAGCAGGAAGTGGGCGGGGCGGTTTACGTGTACATGAACGTGAGGGGGCACTTCCGCTCAATACCCACTTTGGTGCTGAAGGGGCCGCCTGCTTCGGCGTTCGGAATGGCCGTCGCCCATGCTGGGGATCTCGACCAAGACGGTTTCCAGGGTGAGGAATGCTCAACCTGTCGTATTGTGCGACCAAATGATGGCATGTGATCGTGGGATGCGTTTCAGACTTTGCAGTGGGCGCTCCGTTCCAGGGAACAGGAAGTGTTATGATCTGGCGCGGGAGCAGCACCGGCATCTCCACTCAACCCAGCCAGGTGCCTAACAGGTTCACACCCGCACAAACGCATGCACTCTCTGACTGCATTTTGGCGCCCTCCGCAGGTTATCAGCGGAAGCAGTTTGTCGCCTCGTTTCTCCACTTTTGGGTTCTCGTTGTCCGCCGGACTGGACGTGGACGGCAACAAACATCCAGACCTCCTGGTTGGCTCCCTGGATGACACCGCAGTCCTGCTCAGGCACATGCTCACAGTTTCTGTTTTGCCCTGAGTCGCTGTCAGCCCAATAAAATCGAAAGCAATAAAATCTGTAAAATCGTCCGACATTAGGCTGTTCCAAAGTCATCATAATCTGCTTGAATATTCCCGTTGAAACAGCAATATATTCGTACTTTCTCATGAATAAATCCACTGCTGCTTGAATTATGTTGATGGTTTGCAGAACTCGTCCGGTGATCCACCTCAACAAAACCATAAGTGTGTCCCCAAATAGAGTCAACCCCAACACTTGCGACTTTTGGTGAGAGCTGTTAACTGTGACGCCCGCTCACACACAAATTGCTAAACACATGTTTGTGCTTGTGTGTTTGTCAGTATTGAGGTGGAGGTGTGTTTCTCATACACGCGCAGCACTGGCGAGACGAAAAACCAAGACAGCATCAGTGAGTCAACCTGCAACACACACACACATCTGGCCTGGCTTGGATGGAGACACCATTAGTATGATCAAGCTTGTGTTTTTGTTTTTGATGAAATGACAGCATGCCGCTGACAATTCAAGTAAAGTCAACTGGTAATCAAGTAGGACACATAAACACATTCATGACACCAAACTGTCCTTGAGTGTCCTCTTGTTCTTCTTATGTCTCATGTGTGTAATAAATCTCATACACACACGCACACAAAGAGCCTCTGTGACTTTGTTTTTCTAATTGGACCAATCAGTATCAAGGTCACATTATTTCTAACACACAAATAAACACACGCACAAATGCTTTAAGTGTGTCAGGGATAACATCATGTTGGTATCCGCGTGTCCGCCAGCCATCCATTTCACCGTGGCGGCAGATGTCAGCAGCCTGAACCCCCGTCTACGTTTTCGTGGCAATGGTCAGAGCGTGTACGCCGGTTTCATGCTGGTTTCTCAGCATCGCTGCAGAACTCTGAGCGTCGGACTGCTGGTGAGACTTTGGGAACCCCGACAGGAAGTGGACGGTTCCTCCGGAACACTTTGACCGTTTGTGACTTTGCCGCAGACTCCGGTCCGAGACAAAATGGAAGCATTGGTGTTCTCGCTCAACGCGTCTCTACACCAGAAGATGTCCAAGAACAGAGACCCCCTCCAGGACCTGGCAGCCTTCCCCGTGCTCAGCCACAGACCTCGACCAGTCCAAACTCAGGTCAGAACGTTTTATGGGTCAGTAGTAAGTTGTAATTGTGTCATGAGTTGAGTTCCGTTGTAGATCGGCCCTCTTGGACTTATAAGGGTCCTGGAGTCATTTTACATTGAGAAACAAAGTACTTGTACTTGCTTACTTCCCAACATACAGTGGAAACAAGTGAGGGAATGAGAAAACTGTTCTGCAGGTTCACATTCAGAAGTACTGCGGTTCCGATAACCGTTGCCACAGCAACCTGCAGATGGCGGCCCACTTCACTGACTCCAGGCAGCAGCCACTGCGCATGTAAGTCCCACGCAGTTCAAACCTTGGCTGCTCCGAGTGGACCTGACGAACGGGCTTCTTTCAGCTGTTCTGGTCGTCAAGTGTGGTTCTACGAGGGCAGCGCAGACCGTCTTCTGCTGCGGGTCAACATTAGCAACACGGCAGAGGACGCTCACTTGGCCATTCTCAACGTTAGCGTCCCGCCTGCACTGGTCTACTCCGGAGTCCGGACAAAGGTGCCTTGAAGGAGTTCCAAGTCAACCAAGACCTCACTGGACTTGGATCCAATCAGTCTTGGGAGAAACGACATATCCTCAAGGATGCTCAGATTCAGATTCAGATTCAGAAAACTTTATTGATCCCCGTGGGGCAATTGGAGTCAGCCTTCAATGAAGCACCTGACATGAACCAGACATTGACCTGTGTGAAATAGCCGTTGGACTTGAAATGGACCTGACCTGGCACTGACAAAAACTTGACTTGAACTTGATGTGGACTTATCTGGAACGAGACTGGGACTTGACCTGCTCAAAACTTCCCGTGTCTGTGCTCCTTCCAGGGTGGTGTCCAGGAAGTTCAATGTTCTGTGGAAGGCTCTGCGGTTCTGTGCGAGCTGGGGAACCCATTCAAAGCCAACCGAACAGTACGGAACCTGTTGGACACTTGCTCGTATTTCTTTGTTCTTGTTCTTAGTTCTTTGTCGTTTCATTGTTAGTCGTTTCTGCTCTTTGTTCCTTGTTCTTTGCGGGTTCTGTTTTCCTTGTCCTTTTCTTTTTATCCCTTGGGCTTTCATGTATATTTCTTCTTCCTGCCACAGTGAAACTAAGCCTGGCTGTCTTCCAGGTTGAGGTGTGGATCATTTTGGAGCCTTCAGAGATCAGTTGGGACACTCGGGAGGTGGAAGTACTGCTGCAGATGTCCACGTAGGACACATGCTCATTCACTGAGACAAAATTTGACCACTTTACGCAGGAAGTGTCCAGAAGAAGTGCGATGGCCAGTTCAGGGTGGAACCTGTGTCTCGCCTAAGTTTCGTTGGGGTCAACTCCAGCTCACCCGCAACCCTGATGAGCATAAGCGCGATAGGAAATAGATCAATATGACTCAGTTCCCTTATGTTAAAACAGGGCATTCAGTTGAAATGTTCAAAGTAATCACCAATTCCCATTTGGGCCATTTAGGGCTGCACATAGTTTTTTTTTATTTCATTGTGGTAAGGATTATGAGGTGATTCTTGATAAATGTCTCCTTGGACCATCAACCGACCGCATTCACTTTTGTGTTCAGACTCAGCGAGCAGACAGACTTGTCTCCAGTCTGGGTCTCCTTGATGGTCAACTACACGGTAGACATGTCCCTCACATTGTGAGTACAGCACTTCAGCCTTGAACTTGGGGACCCCATCTCAGCCTCACCCTCTACCGGCTTGTGACAGGACCAGTCAGCCGGGCCCTGCACCTTTCAGCGGTCACGTTTTGGGCGAGAGTGCCATGAGGACCACGGAGGATGTGGGCCCTCTGCTTCTCTTTACCTTCCAGGTCGGTACAAGGCTCTGTTCCCAATCCTTCACTTATTCTCTACTCCTGGAGACAGTGGAGAGTGTGTTTTACAGTGGACAAAATAGATGACTCATCAGTCAAATGAAAAATTGTTTTTGGAACATTACTTGGGCATTTTTGACTCCTTGACTGCCATGGACGTTTCTATTGTTCAAATAGGATTCAAGCTTCTACTACCACAGATGAATGTTCATCAAGTATGTCTGACAGTGGGTCGTTGTGGAAGAGGGTCTCGCCTGTGAAATTCAGCTTTGTGAGCCAGAGTAATGACTAAAATATCCCCATAGATGGCGCCGCTTTGGATTTCAGCACAGCTTTTGAGTAGAAGATTAGACGGTGAATCTCAGCTTGTTATGTCCATTATGAGGGACAGAAACGGCAACTCGTTTAAGAACCTCACACTCCCAACGGAGTATGTATTGTATCTATCCACTGTAGGTTGCGGAAAGTAACATGGGGAAAGAGTGTAAAAGAGGAAGTGTAAAAGAGTACGTCTCCACTGAAAACAAATTCCGACTCGCTGTATAGTCGATAGGGAAGTATTTGGAACCTAGACCAAGTCCAAATTGACTTGTACTGGAGGTTCCCCAGGGTGAGTTGTGCTCTCATCCGGCAGGTGCATGTGGGCGGGAGGCCGCCCGATCGCCGGGGCAACCTGGAGCTGGCGTTCGAATGGCCGAGCGAGCTGTCCAACGGGAAGTGGCTGCTCTACCTAACAGAGATCTCGCTGAACGGAAGCGCCGAGTCGCGATGCCTTCCGCCTGGCAACGTGCTCAACCCGCTACGCCTCAAGGTTAGTAACGACGGAGACGTCTCAACTCAAAAGGGGAGGGGAAACTTTTAAAGGGGAAAACGAGTCAAAAAATGTTTCTCCAATAATTTGTTGTATTAAACTGTGTAAATTAACCCATGAAAGATGCCTTTGTGTCTGACGTGTATCTTGTCTAACATGGTAAACACACTTGTGTTGTGTCACAGCTTTCCCGAGAGGAGAGTGCGGGGAGGGAGAGGCAGAGTCCAAGACAAGAAGACGAAGTGCGGAAGGACGAACGAGCAGGCCGCAGCCCACCTCACACCAACAAGTCTTACATCCTGGTAGGACCTTCCAGCAGGGGGAGACTCCGCCCTGCTCCACACAAAATACGCCAGAGCGCTACCTTGACTTACTTGAGTTAGGATCTGTCATTTAGCCCGTTTTGGATTTATGTTGCAAGCCAACATTGGAGTTATGAGCAAGCTGCAGATATGCCGCTCCTCAAGTGAGGGAATAAAAAGACATGGTAAAATGAAGGCACCGTGACCCCTTGGCATGTGAGCAAGGCGAGCCACACTCACTGTTTTACTGAAGCCATTTAGGAACGGGACAAAGGGACAAACATGCAAATGCAAAATGAACACACTCGCTAGGAGCCACTGTGGGCTTCAGACCTCACTCACTAGACGACGCCCCAAAAGGCACACACGGAGTCCAACACACAACTACTACAGCATGTCAAGTAATTGCACATTGTAAAGCCTTCTTTTCTTGAGTGAAGTGCTGTTTTTCTCAATGAAAACTGGGCTGTTTTAGGAATGGCAAAACCCATTGGAAATGGGAGTAAATTGACTCCCAAGCATGGAAGCTCCTCAAAGTACAACAAGGCTCACCTGCTGTACTTACTCATTGCATGTGTGTGTGTAGGACTGCAGGAACGGCGGTGCCAAGTGTGTACACTTCGTGTGTCGCCTGTCGCACGTCAAGAAGAGCGCTAGTGTGACTCTGCGAGCACGTCTCTGGAAGGCCACCATGTTGGAGGTTCTTCTCCTCCTCCTTTTCTCCCTACCCTACCCTATCCCCCGCTGCACATGCACTACAGAAAACCCGTTGAATATTTCTTCCACATCCCTGATGACCAGCTTAAGTTCCGTGTACCAGTATGCTCACTGTCCTCACTAGTACGTGCATGATTAGAACGACTGTCTCACTTGTAGTGTTTTCCACGACGAAAGCTGACTAGCACACTTGTGTGCTGCACGAGTGAAAAGTTCTGAGGAACTTCTAATGGTCCTTTTATCTTGATTGCTCACAGTATCATACTAACAAAAACTACCACAAGACTGTTTCCACCAGATGCGGAAGATGGTCCGTCCTCTCCAAAACGATCCGTATGCTTATGTTCAGCATTCTTGCTGAGTTGTAATCAGCTTGAACGGTCCTTTCCAACCATTTTGACAGAGAGTCATTCTGGGGAAATCTTGTCCCGTCGCCAATTTTAGTGATGCGGGAGTTGGGAATGACTAATTGTGCATTTGCAAAAATCTCCATCTAGCGATTGGGCAGTATGAAGATATGGAAGAAATGCTCAAAAGGCTTTCCATAGCACCCCCTACGTGGAGCGCTGAAGCTAATCCCCCGTCCGTGTGTGTTAGCACTACATGGACGCCAGGGCCGTGCTGCTCCGGGGACAGGCAACCCTCAGGCTGGGCGCCATCAGCACGGAGACCCCCAGTGCACAGGTGCTACTAGCGGCCTTCCTGTTGACTGCAGCCAACAACAACATTGATGCAACACTGTAGTTGTTTGCAGATGGAGGTCTATGCTTACCCTGACCTGGAGAGGTGGGAGGGCAGCGGTGCCCCCTTGTGGACGATTGTAGCAGCCGTCCTGGCTGGACTGGGCCTGCTGGCCCTCATCTGCATGCTGCTGTGGAAGGTAGCCTCACTTTTTCCCACTTGCTTGAGCAAACAACTTCCTGCTCATTTGCTGCTGGTTTTCCGCTCCCATTTCTGACTTTCTCCTCATTTCCCGGTTGCGTCTTGGTGACAACATGCCTACTTCCTTCCTGTCCACAGTGCGGCTTCTTTTTGCGCCGTCGCTCATGGCGAGCGGCGGCCCAGTACCAGGGTCGGATCTTGGCGGCGGAGGAGCGCCACGAGGGCCAGGACGCCGTCTTGACCAGAACCAAACCCAAACAGTGGCGCACCTGGACCGCCGTGGACTGAAGCCCCACCGAAAGACCTCATACTTGTAACTAAGCGGAACTCTCTCGTCAGCGGGCATCACCAACATGGTGGTCACTCCTGATGACCACACGATGCCTGCGCCCTCACCGCTGAGATGTGTCTTGATTTTAAAATTTTTTTACGTTTGCTTTGGATATGACAATGTTTGTGAAAAACTAGTATGGTTCAAAGGTCAGTATTGCAACACCTGAAATAATTTCAGCAAATGTGTTCTTTCCCAAGTGTGTACGGTGGTCACCTTTCATCAGTAGCAGCTCTCACTTCCCAAAACGTGTGACCTCTGCTTTAGCGTGTGTGCGTGGGCTGTGGTTCTGTGTCGTCTGCGTTTGAATGTCATGACTGAAGATTGTAAATTACCATATTGACGGAGAGCTCAGAAATGAGGTGTTTGTATTGTTGGTTGTGTAGAATTCAGAATTGTCCGTCCTCTGGTTGCTAATGCTATGCTAAGCTCATGAGTCTGGCAGTCTGTTTATTGGTGTTTTGAAAACTTGGTGATGTCAAACTTAACTGTGGATTAAATAAATTCATCTGTCAATTGAATGCCACCATTTGACTACAAACAACACAAACGCACTCCGCCAGTCAGCAAAGACAGAAGTAGTGACAAGCAATAGCAACCGCTAACTCCGCTAGCTTAGCTAACATTCAACATTTTTTGCAAGTTCAGGTATGGAAAGCAGCATGTCAGCAACCTGCAACGTACAGAGAAGGGGAATCTGCAAAGCTGTTCCGCGGCAGCAGGTAGCGGTCACATTAATTTCGGTAGCCAAAAAAAGAAATATTTCTTGCAACAAAAAGAGACTTCAAGCTAGTTTGGGACAATTGCAGCACAAGTTTACGCAAAAACTAAACACTTCAACTTTGTGTTTTTAAAATAGACAATTGCCTGAGGAAGAGCAAATGCTAACCTGATGCTAATGCTAATTAGCATCTATGTTGCAGGAAATGAAGAACACTTCTAAAGAGCTTTATCTGCTTTAATACCTGAGTGATTTGAAGACAAATAGTGCAGCAACACATGTAGACAGACAATATAAACATACTCAGTCACATACAGTATTTTTGATCCTCTGCAAATAACGACTACATGAACATCACTTGAGTTCTGCTGGAATATGACTGGCTGCTACATTCACACAACCAAGTTAAGCGCAAAACATGAATTGGCCTTGATACCGCCCCACGGTGGCCAAGGAACACACATCTGACGAAGCAGCACAGTTGAAGGAGAAAGTTGCTAAAACTGTTTCAATCTTATGAATTTGCATCCATTACGTAATACAATGAGTGGGAATTTTCTAATTAAAAAAACATTACTAGTAGGTTTTTGGATGAAAGGCTTTTCCATTCATTTCAATGGGGCAAGATGACTTGAGATGCAAGTGTTTTGAGTTACAAATTCTGGACAAAGAACAAATTAATCTGGATCTTCAGGCAAAAAAGTGGAAACATTTCAAAAACCTTGAATTATGCAACTTGCTCAAAGTATGCGGCCCGTCTACCACACGGTCAGGTCCAGGTCTTCGAGCTCCCACGGGTCTTCATCTGCAGGAAGGTTCTCCACCTGACGTGATGATATCATCACTCGGGATCGGCCGACATCGATCGGATATCCGACAAGCGCACACACGACTGCTCACCTCATCCCGGTTGCAGACAGGGATAAGTCCTTGAGGCTCCTCGGGGAAGAGATGTTCGGCTGAGCGTCGCAGCTCCACCATGACCTTCCTCTCACCTGGCAGACACACATACACACATGCATGCATGCATGTGGGCGTCAGCTGGGATGGCGTCGCTGCGGTGACCGGCTGGCGCAAGAGGGGCCAGCTGACCTAGCAGAACCAGCACCACCGTGGAGAAGGCCTGCACCGCCGCTTTGTCGCGTACCAGCTTGTGCAAGCTGCTGCGCTTTCGCAACATCATCTCAGGACCTGCACGCACACACACAGGCCATTTGATTAGGTGCGGTTGTTTTTCTATAGTGCCGTATGTATGTAAGTGGCCATTTTGTCAAAATCGGTTTAGTAGTCGGGCGTGGTGACGCAATCACTATGCAGTGGTGCCTTGAGATATGAGTTTAATTACTGCCATCATCACATTGGTAATTCAAAGCGCTCATATTCCAAATGCTCCATCGCTGTTGGAGCATAAAAAAATAAAACCTTATCAAATGTGTTTTGTTTTTTTTTTTAATGAGGAAAATTATAACTTATTGGCGATATATTCAATATATATTCAAATCCATCCGATTAACCTATCCGTGATTTTTTTTCCAGGGAATCTTTCCTCTCTTATTGACAGAAACACCCCGATTAATTGCAATACTTTTTTAGTCCCTGATCCCTTGCCTATTCATATTCTTTTGACCCAATCTTCCACCTGTAGATAACATGCATTCCAAATATCTGTCTGTCTGTCTAGATGTGTTGCTCCACTGTTCGTATCCAAATACCTCATCAACTGACAATTGTCTTCAAGTTGAGTCCAGTTCACAGAGCTCAGACGTCATCATAGGCCAAATGAGGTCTGACCTCGAAAAACTCAGAAATTGTTCCTATCTTAAGACACCACTCGAATGGGACTTTATCGTGTAGCCGTTGGGGGTTTGTGGAAGGGGGCAATAAAATTCCACATCTACCTGCGTGCGACAAGACGTCTTCCACCACGGCGGCTCCTCGCGTGCTCACGCCGTGACGCGGAAAGGAGATCTGGACGACGCAGCCAAGCTTCACACGGACGCGCCCGCCTGCTTTGTCTTCCTCCTCCTCATCCTCTGGGGGAAGCTCCTTCAGCTGCGGGCCGCACGGAAAGTGCTTCAGTTAGGTGATGCTTGCCCTCGCCACAAACAATCATTTCAATTGCAAAACAATCAATTAAAATTACTGTGACGATGTCACATGTCCAGCCGTTGAATCCCAGGCAATGATTGGCCAACTCCACGCAGCGGGCGTGGCTCAGGGGTCTGCTGCCGGACAGGAAGTGAGGCATCTTTTGGGAGCTCAGCCTCACCTGATGAGTATACAGTATATATCATAAGTGAGAAATTAAAAGGCCCCAAGATCCTTGGTAAAATCTGTACCAAAATGTGAAATTGTCACGTGTCATATATAACGTTGAGATTTTGCGATAATTTTCTGACCCCGTTTCCACTCACTCGAAATAGTTGACGGATTTCATAACTAGTAATCCATCAATTTGTGGTGTGCGAGTACAGTAATTATACGATGAAAAAATTAAACATTTATATGGTTTCACTGTCATAAAGGCTCTCCGACGGAAGACATAACTCCAAAGTGGCCCGTGACAGAAATTAGTTTGACACCCCTGTATGACAGGGGTGTAAAAACATACACACACATATATACAAACATATAGACACAGAGATACATATTAGGGGTGTGCATCTTCCCACAAAAAAAAAAAAACATTCTATACGGTTTTTGATGCATGAGGTGTGAAACGATTCAAGGGCAGTTCAAGTTGAAGCGGAAAAATTCAATTCGACTCATATTACAATTCAACTAGATATTACAGCTCAGTTGGAGAGGGCTTGAGGCAATGATTGTTGTTGTCATTTTGTTAGGTTTAGTCAACCCACATTTAATAAATAACAAATGTAAGGAAGACAAGTGAATGGACAGGTTGTAACCGGTTACAATCTCCAACCCGCTCTGAGATACAACATGCCGAGTCCTCCATTTATTGAAAAAAAGAGGTCTCTAATACACGAGATTCTAAAGGGAAGGGAGGGGGAAGCACACATATGTCAGAACCATTGATGAAGTCCACAGAAAGAAGATGTTTGGTCAGAAACAATGCACTCCTGTGCTTAGAGGAGTTCATGAGCTCATTTGTGCAAGCACGTCTGGAGAGCGCCGTTTCAAGGTAGTCATTTCCACTCCTCAGAGGTTGTTATCTGATTTCAGTCCGAGAACAATGATGAAGTCTTCAAACCAAAGAAGATAATAAGGATCCACTCCTGTGTGCTTGGAAGAGTGAGAGTTCTTTTACATAGCTGTGCAGCCTAACAAGCTCCACTCCCCGCTGGCTTATCTTCCCAAGCTTGGGAACCAGCTGGCCCCCCTTCAACATTATTCTTCACTGTCTCTCACGTGAAACCTTGCAAGGCCATACTGCTGAATAAATGCTTTGTAGTAATATAAGAGTAAATATGGGATTACTTTATGTACATTTATCCTATCACATTTTACAACCATTCAAATGAACTTGTCAGTGCTGTAAATGTGTAATTTTCCTTCGAAGCTATTTGATACATATCTTGATGTACTGTATTTCAAAATGGAACAATTTGGTTCAATTCTATGCATCTTTGAAATATTTAAAAGAACGACTTTCCAGTTGGTGGCCCGGTGGTCCAGTGGTTAGCGCGTCAAGCACACACTGCAGAGGTACCGGGTTCAATTCCAGCTCCCTGTGTGGCGTTTGCATGTTCTCCCCGTGCCTCTCGTGGGTTTTCTCGGGGTACTCTGGTTTCCTCACACATTCCAAAAACATGCATGACAGGCTTATTGAACACTCAAAATTGTCCCGAGGTGTGAGTCTGAGCGCGGGTTGTTATTGTTCGTCTCTGTGTGCTCTGCGATTGGCTGGCAACCGGTTCAGGGTGTCCCCCGCCTAATGGCCGAAGACAGCTGGGATAGGCTCCAGCACGCCCCGTGACGCTTGTGAGGATAAAGCGGAACAGAAAATGGATGGATGGATCGACTTTCCAGTTCAAAACGGGTTTTGTTACACCCCTAATACACATACACACCGGCTGCACATGCAAACAACATACACCTAACACATTCACATTCACATTTCGTCGGAAAAATGGAGAAGAGTAGGAGTGCACCTTGAGCGGCGTGGTATGGAAGAGTGCGCGCCCATCTGTGTTCTGCTGGGCTTTGCGAGCCTGAGCCGCCGAGTAGAACTTGATTATGCCGTTAAAACCAGGCGTGCTCAGCGCGGCGTTAGGACGAACCTTCACCAGGTAGAGGGGACCGAAGGAAGAGAAGACCGCGTGCAAGCGCTCCTACAACACACACTCGCATGAATTCACAAATACCTTCAAGTGATTGTACACGCGCACACGCAAATAATTTTGCACAAGAGGCGCGTCGGATTGACCTGTATGTGCGACTCGGTCAGGTTTGGCGTGATGTTCCACACAAACAAAGTCTTGTTGTTCTCTACAGGAACCCAAAAGTCCAGCAGGTCCACCTCCATGGCAAAGGTTCCTCTTAAATGTCTTCATGAACACCGCAAGTTAGCAAAAGCCAAATGAAAGGCTTCGAATTCAGTTTCAGTTTCCGTCTTTCTACACACCAACGAGTTGCGGAGGCACTTCCGGGAAAATGGCGGAGAGGGCAAGCCTCTGTCTCGAAGCTCTTACGTCACCACCCCTCCCCCCACAAAATCTGACCATTCTTTGTCAATGAACTGTATCCATTCTTATCAAACCGAATTTCAATGCTACAAGTCTACTCAAATTAAGAAACCAAATGTTTGTGATTTAAATTCTTTAAATTTCCCATTGCCCCAAAAGCACAGGAAATTCGTAATAGGGTATCCCATCCTCTGAGTTTTTAATTAAGGAATCGATTTAATTTGGACCATAACAACTGTTTATTTTGTCATGAAGACATTGAAACATTTGATGACTGCAAATTTATTAATGGCTTCTGGAAAGATTTGTATCACTGGTTGTTCCATAAATTGCCTAGTCTTTCTATTCTGTCAAAAGAAAATGTTTTGTATGATATTTCTGTCAAAGAGTCATTCCATGACTGAGTATTTAACACTGAAATAAAAATAGACACATTCAATCCAAACCCAATTTCTATGTATTTCAGAGAGAACTATGTCATTTTTCATTCTTGAAATGTATGGTGTAGAAAAATGCTGTGAAACTGTGCAGCTTAGTAGAGGAGTTGAAACTTTATGTATTTATTTTTTGTTGATTGTTGATAATTTCTTGAGGCTTGTCTGTTACCATTTCTCTTATGTTAACAGGCTTGCCTGTTACCATTTCTCTCTTATGTTAACAATGTACTATGCCAACATGTTTTGTACATTTGAAATTTAATAAACTTTTAAAAATAATTTGTTCACATATTTGGCGCGCTTCCGAAAAAGGCGGGACGTCATGTGGTAGCCAATGAAATAGCCGATAACCACACTGGCTCAGCCAATTAAAATCGTCCTCTTCTGAACACATGACGGTTTCCAAAACTTGGTTTGTAATTTTTATCGAACAAAATGACGTCAAATTTACAATGATTTATACCCATTCCAGGTTGACGTTGGTTTTGAAATCGCTGAAATTAAAATAATAGTACTAAAAGGATGTTTGCGTTGCGTTCCTCCGACAAGACAAAGCAGGAGTGAATGTGACGTCATAATCAGTGACAGTGAATGCGCGAAAAAAAAGGAAAGTGAAGGGACTTCCCTCAGAGACAATTAGAAATCGTGACGAAACCACCTCACGCGCAACATTTGCTTTTCTTTTTCATGATGTCATTTGCATTCACAAGCGCACGTGTTCACTTCACTAAAAGTAATGTTTAATTAAGTATTGATGACCACGTCAGCAAATATGATACTTTGACATGGTTGCTAATGTATTCGTCAGTACAGAAAAAGTGTGGTGCTTCATATCACATTACTAGTTAGTTAAATAGAACTGTTTAACCAGGTCCAAGCAATTGGGTGTGCGTGCGCCCACGAGGGGGCGTGTGTTTGGAAAGTGAGAGTAGAAACAGAATTGTAGTGTTTGATGCTCCTGTTTTCTTTTTCCTGTTTGGAATACTATAAGTGCAAAGACCTTTGTGGCATGTGGGACATATCAGCTTCATCATGTTGGGAGTCAGACGTCCAGAGGTGATCCTCATCCTTTTTGGTGTGTTTGTACCCACGTTCTGCTGCGACTGGCTAAGACGATACACGGACTTGAGTGACAGGTGTCTGTCTCTGCTTTGGGACCTGGTCAGTATGGCATTCTCATGGTCTTCTGCCTGCTGTCTGTGGAACTAATGAAATTACCTTCCAGGGTGGTCCCATCACAGAAGAGGAGTTTCCGCTTCCGTTTCCAAGACAACTTTACAAGCGGGTGGAGAAGTCTCAGGTGAGACCTGCTTGTGACAGCCAATCAGAGTGCAGACGTTGACCAGTATGTCGCTCTTTGCAGACGGCGTGCAAAGTGACCTTTGTCCGCAACAACTTGGGACACATTTTGGATCTTTACCAGCAAGTCAACACCTCCAGAGTGGGCTGGGACGCGGACACCTTGGAAGAAATGCTCATTGTCATGCACAGACAGGAGGAGGAGCTCAGCTTGTGTGTATGTATTCTCTCCTTTCGTATGCGTCTCATTTTGACACCAAATGATTGTGTAATCGAGAAACAGAATGATTTGGGAGACGCTTGCAATATACCACCTGTTATGTTCTGTAGACCCTCTTGGGCTTGAACCGACTAGTTGACTTTGCAATCAATTGAGCAACAAATCAATCATTTGAGCAAATAACTGCCCATACGAAATCAACTATCGCCATCAATTGACTAGTCAACTAACCCGCCAGTGGATACGACCAACAAAATGATCAACAGACTATATAACCAACCAAGTGAATTACCAAACCTAGAAGGCAACGAATCAACATATCAACTAAACAACCAACCAATTGATCGACAGACCACTTAAATGATGAATCAATTGTACCAACAGTGCTTATGGGAGGAGTGGACAGAGTGCAGCGACTCGTTGACTTGTCGACTAGTCAAGGTGTCAGCGTAAGCACTGTGCAATGACTTTTCCAGCTTGAGTTCAATGAACGGCGATGAGGGAGTGACCCAGCTGGTCAACAAATAACCGACAATCAAATGAGGTGGCAACCATTTGATTTTTGATATATAATTTCGTTGCAGTACATCTGAATGAAAGATGATTTTTTTTTTCGAACCAATTAACTGATGGTCTACATTGATGGATTCTAAAAATTAGAACAGTGGCTTATCGAAATGACAACTACAAAAATACTCCATATTAATTCATGAGAAATGGCAATCAGGTCATAACTGCATTCAACTAAAATTGGTGATAAAAAATGACAAGGTCCAGGATATTGGAAAAAAATTGAGTCCGATGGGGATTCAGGATGAGGAATTTTTGGGGAAAAAGAATTTCAGAATAATTGTAGAATGAGGAGACTGCATATCCTTTCCTCGTTTGGGAGCCTTTTTATCGGTGCTTATTATCTGCACTCATGCAGTATGTTGGTAGCTGTCAACTTCGTCATCAACCGTTTTTCTTTTTCTTCAGGTTTCACGAGCAAAGAGCGACGGCTGTTTTTCCAAAGCACTGGGCCGCTACTACGTTAGACTGACCAATGCTACTCTCAACGGCACTGTGAGTACTCTTGAGTTACATGTAGTGCAGAGGGTGCGTAACATGCAATTCAGTGTGTGTATGTGTGTGTGTGCAGGATGGTGACAGCAATATGTGGGAGTTGATCCGGAGCGAAACCAAAATGCACCTGCAGCAGATGCACCTGCTGGTGGCTGCCATGTGACCTGCCGCCAGCGGGGGGCGCCGTCTGACCACGTTTCTACTGCTGTACTTGTCATATTTATGATCTATTTAATATTTATTCTTATTTTGACACAATGAAAAAACTTTTTTTACAACAACGTCTCCGGTTCATAATTTAGTCTCTGCCCTCTTTGACATGGACACAGGAAGTGACTTGCTAGCATGAGTCAGAATTTCATCTTGAAAACTCCATCCCAAATTCCCTTTTTTTTCCTTTCCTTTTTCCTTCTGCTCTCACTTTTTTTTCAATTGAGTTGGTGGCGAAAAACGTTAAGACATGAGTTATCTTGGGTTAACTTTTTCTTTTTCATCCAGAGCCGACATTTGAACACGAGCGTGTAGAGTAGACTAGCACATTCATGTAGTCCTTTGCCGCCATCTTGTGGCATTTCTACTTGAATTCAGTTCCTTTTTGGGATGAAGTCAATGACTGGGAGACTTCTGTCATGGGCTCGATCCCAAACGCCAGTGACAGCGGGAGAAGCGAAGGATGTGCTCATGTATGGTCTGTGTCAAACCCTTTCCCACATTGGAGTGTGACTCACAGGCAGGCATCAAACTGGTGCATGTTCTCAAGTTGACTTGGGAGTAGTTTGGGGGGGCGTTGAAAATGGCGGATGGTCAAGGCGGAGTCTATTTCCACTTGGGGGGGTGATGAGGTCACAGGGGCGGAGCTTGAGCCCGGCCACAGGATCGGACATAATTTTCGGGAAAGAATCCCTGCCGGTCGCGCAGGATGCCCTCATACCAGCCGTCGTCATGGCGACCAGTCACGTAGATGACATCGCCCTCCTCCATGGACAGTTCGCTGGGCTCGGTCGCCTCGTAGCGGTACAGCGCCATCACTGGACACACGCGAGTCAGCCAAACTTCACTGATTTGACACAATAAACAAAAATCTCACAAATCCATCGAACTGGAATCATCAAGATCTTAAGTTATCATTTAGTCACAAAAATCTATTGCAATAAATCGGCACATTTTCATGGTTAGTATGACCGTTCGCTGGGTTTTTTGGGGGGTTCGGAAGGGACTCGTTATTTTTGGCGGCATGGCTCAGTGAGAGTGGTTGTCTCCCAACCCAAAGGTTGGGGGTTCAATCCCCGGCCATTGCGACCATGTCGCACTGTCCTTGAGCAAGATACTCCATCCTTAGTTGCTCCTGATGCTGAATCATTAGTTCATGAGGAAACAGTGTAAAGCAGTTTGAGTACCAAAGGTAGAAAAGCACTCTGTAAGCGACAGCCCATTTATTCACTGAAAAACAATGACCCATTTGCTGTTTTGGCCAAAGCCTTGTCGAATAATAATTGTTCTCATTAACATTATGTAGCATCACATTCCCTGCACTGCAACACAGGGATTCAAATGCCATCTAGTGGGAGAGCCCTGAAGTGTTCTGCCTGTCACGATACACCGCTGGCTGAAAAAGGCAAACAGTCACATAGTAGGTGGAAAGAAATTATCCTAATCCTTATTTTAGCAATCAGGTAAAACTTGAGCGCGTGCTTCAGTACCTTTCTCCAGGTAATGCGGAGGGGCACCACCGAGCTCCTCAACTGCCGTGTCGTCATCCAACGGCGGCGGCGGTGGAAGGGCTGGGATCTCCAGATCTGATTGCATAGCCAGGGGACAATGTGAGTTACATCTCAGAGCGGGCAATTGGGACAGCGGAATGGGGCTTCAAAGTTCACAGTTGGCCCAGCAAAAAGCCAAAATAAAATGCCAAAAGTCAGTGTATCACTTGGCCACCCAGTAGAATTATGGAGCAAGGTAGCGCATCTCACCTCCGAAGTCCACGTGTGATTGTAGCAATAAAATTGAGTTAGGAGCCTGAGTGAAGGTGCGGTTGTAGTGCAGTTTGCAACTGGAGCTCTCCTTACCCAGATGCTCCAGACGAGCAGGCAGGCCCAGCCCGGCGCAGGAAGAGGATGAAGGCTGAGGGGGGGCCGGATAGGAGGGAGGCGGGGGAATGAGCATCGGCAGACGGGTAGCAAGGCGGGCAGGCGGGAAGAGGCAGCGGCTGTGGCGGCGGGAGGCGGGGCCCGAGCGGACCCTCAGCGACACGGAGCGGGTGGGGGGTGAGCGCGCTGCCTCTCCGCCTGCGACCGCAAGCGCAGCAGATGCAGAAGAGCAGAAGACAAGGAGAGGCAAATTTTGTTTTGGGGATTCCCACAATGCATCATGGGAAATACTGCAGTTTTGAGTGCCGCTTAATGTTGAATCCTTTCCAAGGATTGGTAATGGTCGAGACCCAGCCTATGGAATTTGCTCTCCAAAATACATTGCTGATCCTGATAGAATTATTGCCACTTGTTCAAATTTCGAAGGTCAGAACTGTTTTAAAGTTCCAAACCACAGCGGACCTGGATAGTTCCTCCACTACAAATGTCTTTGTAGTTTATTGGGGAGGCAGGAATAAGTGATTCATGTTTGTGTGCGTGCGTGTGATACCGTCTAATTCCTGGGTTGGTGAGGGAGGGGCCGGAAGCTCTGGCTCTTCAGTGAACGGCAGAGGAAAGGCGTGGTCGTAATCTGGGGGTGGGGGAGACGGCGGGGGGAGGCTGCTCTCCTCCAGCACTGCAGAAAGGCAATGATGTCATCAGCATCTTTAGCATTATGGTTGTCAACATCATCAATGCGCTCAGTGTGATCCTTCTTGTCATTATCATCATTTGCATCATCACCATTATCAATGAACCAATCATGAAGTAAGATGAAGTCACATCACCAAGGTGACTTTCCTCACCTGTTTCTAAACATGGGGGTGGAGTTAGCGGAAGGACAATCGTGGTGGGCGGTGTCACTGATGGAGGAAGAGGTGGAGGGGGCGGAGTCAGAGGCATTGCAGAATCCAACGGAAGGGGCGGAGCCACAGGCATCTCAGAGGAATCGGGCGGAGGGGGCGGAGCCATCGTTTCGGCAGAGTCGATCGGATCTGGCGCAGCCACAGAAATCTCCGACAAATCTTGTAGAGGGGGCGTGGCATTCCCAAGTAGCGTTGTGATGACATCACTTTCAGGTAAGGAAGGGACTGTGGGCGGAGCCACAGCTTTCCCAAACGTGGAGCTTCAAAATAGCAGAGCAATCAAATCACATTTGAGCAATAATTTGGCAAAGATTTTCTATCACTTATAAATGTAAAATAAAAGTGTTTCTTTTAGAATAGGGTAAATGCAATTGGGGGGGTTATTTTTGGGCTGACTTTATTTAGGTTAGATCAATTAACCATTTATTGAGTGAGATTAATGAATAAAACAATCCAATAATTTTATACATTTATATGAATCAAACTGAGAATAAAAGAAAACCCATGAATGGATCATCAATGCAAGTTATACAAGCTGGGCACCCCTGCTGCGGACCACCTCCTTCCCCATCCAATGCCCATCCCTGCCCTGAGTTGATGAAATGTGCAATACCTGCCACCAGAGTGCGCCACTGCACACTTGAGGCCTTCTGCTGCAGCTTTGCTGGACCTGAAAACCAAACAAGACCAACAACTTGAAGCTTAAATTGGCAACAGCGAGTAAAGCACAAAACAAAAACCTGATGGATGAGCCCGGCTTCCGGATGGTTCCGCCTCCCTCGCCCGCTTTCCCAGTCAGCTGTTGGGGGGACATGAGGGGTGCGGGGGGCACGCAAGGGGACACAAAGGGGCGGTGGGGGTGGAGTGGGGAGAGGGGGAGGTTTGCAGCATCAATGGAGGCTCAGTCTCAGACAACAATAAACCGCAACAAACTCTAAAGGAAAAAAAAAAATCTTCCCACGCTCACCCAACCGTGTGCATGTGAGTGGGTCTATGTGCGTGCGTGTGTGCATAAGAACATGAGTGTTGCCGCGCAATGTAAAAGAACTTTTAAGGAAGCTTAGTGAAATGTGTGCGTGCCATAGGGAACAGGAAATGGCTGGCTGCGGTAGCAGCCACATCCTGTTAGCATAGACGCTGACTCTGATGTTGTTGCGTGAGGCAAAAAATGTTTAGATGATTGACAGCTGGCCGAAGACGGCGGGGTACCTTGACGCCGTGACCCAAGCCGTCCAACTGCTGGTAGCTGATTGGCCGACGGCTGTAAGGTGGGCACGGCTCCGGAGGCATGGCTGGGGCGGAGATCTTGGGCCCGCGGGGGAGCCGTCGCGCTGCCGTGAAGATTCCGATTTCTCGACGGGAAACTTTCTCCCGGTGCATCTTCACCGTCTAGCATGCAAAAACATTAGAGTCACACAAGATGTTTTGGAGTGATTAATCAACACGTCCGTGATTACATGAACGGTGGCTGGTGCTGGAATGAACGAGTGTCAGTGAACACAACAAAGCCTTCTAGCTCTCATGCCATTTGTTCTCATGGTGAGAGGAGCCACAAATTGTACTCCAGTCCGAATACTCTACCTTTTACAATCGGAAAACTCAAGTAAAAGTCCAAGGTCAATCCCCTAATAATAATAATGTGTGTGTGTGTGTGTTTGTGTAATCCTGACGCATTAAGATTCACTTTTAAAGCAACAAGACACACACAAGAGGAAATTCTTGCAAATAGGGTTCGGGATTGTTGTGGTTTGCTGCAGTGCATGTTGGGAAAAGTGGACAAAGGAGACGTACCTGCCCGATGAGGTTGATGGCCGACTCCATGTGGCCAAGCTGCTGGCTCTGCGCATCCAGTAGATTTAGCACGCTGGTAGCTAGCGTGTTAATCTGGTAGGCGATGCTGGCCAGCGATTGGGCAGTCAGTGACTTGGTCTCCTCCAATGCTTTGGACGTGTCATCCCCGGACTGCAAGGAGGACATATCACATGAGCTCTAACTATTAGCCAGGCCTAGTCTAGTTTTGTGTAGCGTAGTCGGTAGCACTAGCACGTGTGTATATCTATCTGAAATACGAGTTCGCTTGCTGTGTTTTAGACATTTCGTCTGATGTATTAATCTTCTTGGGAATCTGAAAGAAATATTGACCTTTTTCTGTCTTAGCATTGTTATGACACCCAACGACATAGGAGGAGTACACCATTTTAAGAGCAACCGATTAGCATCTTCTGCAATCAAATGCAAACAATCGAATGCTATCCACCCTAAATGAGTAACAAAAAATACAAAGGGGAAGTAACTCCAATGAACGTGACCTATTATACAGCTCTAGAGTTTAATATCTATTCCAGACTCACTTGCACTTATAGTATTTGTACTACCCTATGCATACTTCTTGCAGCAGTCGCAAAATTGATCGAGAAGTGGTAGAAGCCTGTCAAGTTGGACTTGCGGGAGGAAGAATGTTTTGTTTGCAGCAGTGCTGTAACAGCGTGGTGTTTGGTAGTTAGTTCGTAGTTAGTAGTGGTGTGACTGGCCTGGATGTAGTTCTGGCAGCAGTAGTCTGCCACCTGAATTAAGTTGTTGTAGTTTTCCACAAGAAGCTTCCTGGACTCGGGAGCCTGGTTGAGGATCTTGGCCACTTCTTCTTTCAACTCGTCCGCCTTCATGTCATCCAATTTTGCTTCACGTGTCCTCTCTGTTAACAGCACACACACACGTTCATACACAAAGCATCAAATGGTGCGACAATGATTATGTTGAAGATGAAATCTGGTTCGATGTGATTCTGGAGCACCTGTCCGTCTCGAAGACCGTCTCTTCTCTTCTGATCCTGCGGCTCGAATGATTTGACAGCAGCTGCACTTGCACCTTTGCGTGTGTGTGAGAGAACTAGCGTACACGCGCCTTCCCGCGCACTTCCTCTTTGCCTCTTATGCACGTGCATGCGACAAACCCCGCGCGTCCGAGTTGTGAGGCGCTCGACAGGAAAATGACTCGGCCGCGCCATCTGGTGGTCCTACTCTTGCATGCGCAGTTTTTCCAAATCAATTCCTCATTCACTTTTTAGACTCCAAAAAAAACTTTTATTCACAACTTGTGTTCACATTCAGCTTTCTTCACCTGTTACTGAGGGTCTAATGTGTATTTTTTTTTTGTTACTAAGGGTCTGGGTTGAGTTTTATTATTATTGAGGTTCATGTGTGTATGCATGTTGTTCTTGAGGGTCAGGTGTGTTGCCAGTAGCAACCACTGGGTTCCAGGGCGCGTGCTTGCGAGCATTCTTGTCGGTCTTGTGGAGCGGCGTCAGGTGACTGGTCAGGACCAAATCCCTAAAGAAAAAAAATATCTGACAAATGCCTTCCGTGATGGAATGGTGCCTCACCCGGTCCCATATCCGACCTGAACTGCTGGTACGAAGCCACGCCTTGCTGGACGGCCCTCAGTTTGGCGTCGTTCTCTCGTCGGTATTTCAGCTCTGCCTCCACGCTGGCGCGTAAATCTTTCTCCAACGCCGAGAAGTCGATGACGTCACGCCGAGAAGACGACATCTCTCAATGATGTGGGGTGCACTCAAGATGGGTCCCTGCTGCCAGTACCGGTGCGCTTACCCATAATGCATTCGGAATTTGTGACGCGCCAAGTCGTGGAAAATCACATCACTTCACAATCTACGCCACACGCTCAGCAATTTACAGAAATCTAAGCCATAGGCTCTAGAGAACATAAACCCCCCCTGTACTGACTTAAAAATAAACCTGCCCTGAGTACCTTCTCAATATGACGACCAAACAGAACGGGTCTCATACCTTTCCAAGATGGCGGTCGTGCTCGCATACGCACTGTGGCCTGTCTGTGGCACTAGGTCTATTATTAGGATTTTTGTTGTACTGTACCGATAAAGTGCTTTGAAAACTTTTTGTTGCGGTTGCTATGGGTTGTGTGCTGTTATTGGCACACTCGGTTGTTGAAATAACGTCAATACACTTTAAATATACCAAATATACATAAACACGTCCTTACCAGCCGGACGATTGCTTGATTCAAGTTTCTATGGCAACTTCTTCCCAGGCACTTGATTGCTCGGACCTTCGATTTACAAATTACAAAACAAACTACACAGCAATGATTTCTTTTACACCCCCCCCCCGCCCAAAAAAATAAAATAAAAAAAAAATAAACACAAACACGAGTTGCAATTGGCGATTAGCGATAACTGTTGTGGCAAAGCAATGTTTGTGCTAAACCAATGTTACATGCTAGCTTCTGTTATCAAACTGGCGTTATTGTACAATGCTAACTTTCACGCCTTCAAACTATCAATTAAAGCACGTTCATGAATGAATTGAACGTTTTTACCTGGTCGCTTTCTTTGTTGGCGCCGGTCGGGCAAACGAAAACTTTGGTTGCCAAGACGACGGACGGAACACCAAAGAGGCCAAAAGTCTCCTTTCATGCAAGGAATACGTCAACATTTACGTCAGATAAACGTTTCTTTCGAAGAATGCTTTGAGTCATTTAATTTACGATCCTATAATATATTTCTGTGTATCTTTGAAAACAATAAAAATAGACAGATATTTTCTTTATCGTGTTACAGTCCGCAAACGTGCACAACATATTTTTCATGGTGTCCAAAAAAGAAAAAAAAAGAAGTTACTGCTCCAGCAACAGTGAAATAATTTGAAACATGATCATCCTACATTTTCTGTTTGATAATTGGGGCGTGCGTTTAAGTAGGACTATTTGAGCTTTTTTCTTCTTTGGGTCAAATGTCAACTTTTCAACTGTATCTTGACAATCTCGCACTGGACATGATCTGAACATCTCAGAATAAAAAATCAAATCTGTTCATCAAATTATTGCTCTTGATCTTATTGTCTGACATCATGTGAGCATCTCACATGAACAATGATGTCATCATTTGTCTTTCATATCTCAACACAAGTCTTCCTTCCATTTCCTCTTTCTGGGCATGACAATGGAAGGTGTGGAAGGAAGCGGCGACTCCTCCAAGGTGTGCTCTTCCTAGCTGGAGCACAAAGCGACGCAAGTGTATTGCTCCCACACCAAGAAAAAAAAAATCAATATTACGTTTCAACAGGATCAATTTTAGTGACGTAAATTTCATGCTAAAATGTGGCAAGATTAACATCCACATTCATCCCAAAAACCGAAGAAATTCATGGCTCGGGTCACTTTTGTGTATTACAACTCAAAGCTACCAGCAACATAACTGCAATGCTCTTGTAAAATACTGTTAAAAAAACAAACAAACAATAATGATAATAATAATTCTAATAATAAGGCCATGCTTTTTTTGAACAGATTCATAGGATTCTGCCAGTTACATGAAGTGAAGGGGATTACTATGTTTCCTGGAGAAGTCAAACTTTTAAGGTGAACGTTTTCAAGATAAAAGGTGACATTTATCATGTTATTATAACGTTATAATGTGACGCTGAAGTCTTTAAAAAACTTTTTTTTACTGGTGTGGCAGCAATACGTTTGTGTCCAAAGCGCCCTGCTGGCATTGATGTTGCTCTATCTTGTGGAAGGACCCGCGTCTCTTTTGGAATGTACGTCTCAGATCCAAGTTGCGGAAGGCTGCATGTGCGCAGTGGTGCTACCTCTGCACAAAGACGGTGTGGAACTCGTTTAGCATGAGCTCCACAATCTGGCTCTGGAAGACCATGTGGATGGTCATGTTGGCCGACTCGGTCTGCGGGCGCAACAGCGTGGGCCCGAAGACGATGGCCATGCTCTGGACTGACATTCGGTTGGCGTCTTTGTGCTCCACCACTCTGTGTGCGGAGGAAGTGGAGAGTCAAAAGTTAATGAAGCCTTCAAGTTGGCATAGGCGGCGTGGGATGGGAAGGCGGGGCCGGACGGAAACACGTGCCTGAGCAGGTGCCTGAAGAGCAGCTCCATCGTGTCGTGATTGGGAAGCGGCAGCGAGCGCACCAAGTCCTTCATGTAGGACACGCGCAGGTTGTAGTCGGGAATTTCTGCAGGACAAAATGCGGATGCCTCAGGGAAGAGTGGCGCAAGATATGGCGCATTTGGACAACCGCGTGCTGATGCGGGACTGACGGATGGCGGCGATGAACTTGTCGAAGAAGCTGAAGGGGAAGAGCGGCTCGGGAAGCTCGCGCAGGAACAGCTTGAGGGCTCCCGTTAGCACGTGGATGTCTTCCCACTGACCGTCCTCCACATCGAGATGCTCCTCTGAAAACAAGCGGGGAAAAACCACAATCATGTCCAGCCACTCCACTTCGTCATCAACATCAGCTGGGATCATGGTCCGCTATCCAGCAAGAAAATGCAAATGCGGTGATTGGAAAATGAGTGAATGACAGTGTTGGATACCGTGATCGGCTTTGTGTCGCAGCTTCTGGATGACGGCCAAGTTCCCGCTTACACGGTAGATGCCGTCCACATCAAGACCTGAACACACACGCGTATGCGCTCATACACAAACTGCATCAACATCTCTGGAAAGTGAATCATCTCAAAACAAGTGCTGACCTGACACGGTGTGCGTGTATCTGTGTGTGTGTGTGTGTGTGTGTGTGTGTGTGTGTGTGTGTGTGTGCTACCTCTCCTCTCCACAGCTTTGATGCACTTCTCCACAAATTTTGGAATGGTTGTGTTTTCCCTGTGACAGAGGGTGTCCAGATGGCAGCCGAACACGTTGTCTGAACAGAAGAAAAGGACAACGACACGCCGCCGCGTCACATCGCGCGTGCCATAGTCACGCGTGGACACAGTGCCTGGCATCGCTCACCTCGTATGTACCCCTTCTCCTTGACGCTCTGCAGCGTGGGCCTCCTCTGGAGGAAGCGTCGCAGTTTTGTGCGAACTCGCGTCTGCTCCGTGTCGGCGCCCGACAAACTTCTGTTGCCTGCCAAGGCGCGACAACATCTTCAGTGACACAAAGTTGAAACACGCACACAGAAAGTAATCACAAGAAGGCGGCGGCGCCCGCTCCGACGTGAGGCAACGAGGGGGCATCGCTTTGGATGAAATCACTCACTTGCCCGCTTCCTGTCTTTGTCCTCTTTGTCCGAGGCGCCATCGTCATCATCGTCCGACACGTGCTCGTGATCCTGAAAGATACGCCTCCACATTTACGACTGTGTGTGTGTGTGCGTGTGTGTTTGCACATGCAGAGAGAGTGTGTTTGCCTTACTAGCTGTCTGATGGTGTCCTGTACGACTTTCAGCCAATCGGCAATGATACTCTCTGTGTCGTACTGCATCAGATACTCGCAACCTTGACGAGTCCTCAGCTACACACACACACACACACACACACACACACACACACACACACACACACACACACACACACACACACACACAAACATAACAACAAGCATATCAACAAAAGCCGGAACACCAATGATGCGCAACTGCAGTCACGAGACTGACCTCCAGGACATTCTTCTTAGACGACTTTTCCTTGGGTGCCCAGCACACCGAAGCTCCTCTCAGTTCCACCGTGTATTCCGGAACAATCTGGGAGGCCTTAGAATGAGTGACGAGATGAGACAAGACGTGAGCGTGGCAGGAGTACTTTTGGAGGTAAAGGTGAAAAGTCAGCCACCATGTTACTGCTGGGCGCAGATTTGGGGTCCCGGTGGAAAGTTAGGATGCCGCCATGCAGGACAGTCCAAGATTGACTCCAGTTCTTCCTGTCAGCACGAGCATTGGGATGACAACAATGACAAAAAACGAGGATAAAACAACAAGAAAAAGCCTCACCGGATCTTCTTGCCGTTATCGACTACTTTGGTCTTGTTGACGATTCCAGCCTTCTCCAGCAGGTGTCCCTGCAGGCACAGACAGAAAGTCACATCACTGTCATCCAATGCCTCGACATGGCCGACCGTCACCAGGGGGCGCCCGCAACCCGGGTTAGTTGAGCCTGTACAAGCGTGTTCCCATAGCAACCGCAAACAAATGGAAGCGCAAGAACACGACAGCTGTCAGTGGCCAATCAAAGGGCAGGATCTGCATGTACCTGCTGGGAGTCTGAGCTCCTATCGGACAGATTCCTCCTCAAGCTCAACCTATCACAGAGCTTCACACACAATGACATTATCAGCACGAGGGTGGGTGTGTATGTCTGCGTGTGTGTGTGTGTGTGTGTGTGTGTGTGTGTGTGTGTGTGTGTGTGTGTGTGT